ATTATTGGGAATTTAATGAAAAAAATAAATAACTTGAATTAAAATGAAAAGTCTTTGCTCCATCTTGCTTTCTTGCCGAGGCCCGCCCTCACACCCTGGGCTGCCCAGCACCTCCAGTGCCCTGTGTGCACAGAATGTTCTCCACAGCACGCACCACCCTCTAACAGGTCATTCCTTCTTCACAACACTTCCTGTGCACTGCCTGCACTCTTCCACTAGAACAGGGGTCAAATACTACAACCCAGGGGCCAAATCCAAGCACTCTATAGTTTTGAAATATTTCCAATTAGTGGCTGAAAAAAATGGAGGAGGGGAAGTGAAAGATTCTGTGTCCATCTAAAATTTCTTTGTAACACAGCCTATATGTTAACATATTATGTATTATTCCTATCCTTTTACATTGGCAGTGAGCATCATGTGACCATCATAATATTTTCAATCCAATCTCCTTTGCAGAAAAATGTTGGCGGCCCCCTGCTCTGGACCACAAGGGCAGAGTCGTTCTCTTCCTTTGTGTGTCCTAAGAGTTGACCGCTGCAGTACCTGGCAAGAGGTGCTCGCACAGTTCTGAGTGGATGGAGGTGTGTGTAGTGGGGTATGCTGCAGTGACCCCTAGAAAATGAGAGCCTCTGCTCCACCCCGCTGTATCTGCAGACACCACCTCTGGGGCTGGGAATGCGGGCAAGGGTCTCTTTGAGCTCAGGGAGAGGCATCTGCAAGGCAGGCTGTGCCACCTTCTCCGTGTCCCTGAGGCAGAGAGCATGGCAAAACACAAATATGACACCAGCTGGATGAGCTCAGGTCTCTCAGAGGATTGCGTCTGATCACCTCTGCACTCAGTTACTTGGAATTTCATTTTTCAAATAAATTACTCTAATTAAAATAAAAAGCCCTTGGCTCCATCTTCTTTCTCAATAAGGCCCACCCTATTTAATGCCCTGACCTACTGCATCACCTCCAGCGCCATTAAGAACGCAGTATTTCATCCTCGGCTCACTCTCCTCCTCCTTCCTATGAGTCTGTGGCAGAGCATGAACTGCACTTTGGTGCCCTCTGGTGGTTACTTGGAGTGACGTCTTCCAGCTGCTTCATTTCCCCAGCTAGCTTTCCAAAGGGAACTTGGCCAGGCCTCTCTTTGGCCCAGAGATCTAGGTGCTCATTTCCTGGGGATCATTTGGTCCTTCCCAGTTCCTCTTACCTATCTGGCTCTTCTAGAAAACCTTCTAGGCTCAGAGTCCGGAAAGTGGTCCCAAGCAGAGCCATCATGTTGCTCCTGCCTCAGGGCCTTTGCACTTGCTGTTTTCATTGTCTGGAAAAGTTGTTCCTCCAAATATCCACTCAGCTCACATTCCCACTTCTTTAGTTACAAGCTCTTTAGTTTCACTGCCACATGCACAAGTAGAAAGTGCAAACTATCGCTTACCTGTCATCCCTGTTTCCTTGCCTCCTGGGTCCTTCCCCTAACACTCCTTGTTTATCTATGGCCAGAAGGCCAGCAGTGTGAGACAGATTTATTCATAGTGCTCGGTGTGAAGCTGTGCTTAAAGAATGCTGCTTAATGGCCAAATGGAAGGTGACTGGGGGAAAAGCAGGTGTGTGGCTGGGACTAGACCAGGTCACTCTCCACAAGGCCAGAGCTGCCAGTTACCCCATAAATGGTGTGCTCAGCCTTCTCTTAGTAGTCTTGTAACACAGGGTACACTCCTTCATGCTGACAGGCACACTCCTGGCAATCTGATGTCCCTCTGGTTAGACCAGGGTCCTGCAGCTGCCGTGGCCGCCCTCACTGTGCCCTCACCAATGTGCATTTGGTCTGCATAGTTCAGGAACTCACCCTGAGGATGGACAGGAGGTGGCCTTAAACATTTGCTAATGTTTCTGCTTATCAGGAGGGGTGATTGTGTGTGTAGCTGGGCAAAGGGATCGTTGGCAAAGATTGCTCCAAGTTCTACTCTCAGGACAGGAACTTTGTCTCCGACTAGCCTGAAATCTCACACAGCAGCAATCATGTGCCTGCCACCACACATCACATAACTAATTAGCAGTATTCCCATCTGCCTACGAGAGAGTGGGCTCCAAGTAGGTAGAGGCAGGTCCGAGCTCCTTCAGACCCTGGCTCTCACCCAGGGCCTGCTTGAAAGATGAGATGACAGCAGTGCATAGTGAGTGGATGGGCAAGAGACAAGTGTCAGGGTGCTGGAGAGATGAGCAGATAAATGAGTGGGGAGGTGTGTGGGTGGACGGCTGAGTGAATGCCCCCAGCAGGTCTGGATCCTTGGCCAGTTCATGATAGCTCCCTTCGTGTATGCTCCCATCTCATCAATCCTGCTTCTAATCATCCCCACTCAATCACTCCCTTGTGCCCAGGCCTCTCTCGCTCACCCACTTTCATCTCTCCAGCCACCCAAGGCCCTATGTAGAGGTGACCCTGACTTCAGGGTCTCTATGGCAACTGGTGGGTACCAAAACCCCTAACACTGTTTCCTAAGAGCTTCCAGACGAGGCACCCTCTGCCCTCTCTCGTGAAGGGGCTCTTCTCCCGGAATCCACAGGCACTCGTCAGCCCCTAACCCTTCATCTCTACTTTCTGCACAACACAGCTGACTAACCACCATGCTTGTCTACTTGGATTTTTCCTGCCTGTGTAGCCTGCGAACTCCAGGAGGGCTGGGTCCAGTGCCCTCCTCTCCACTACAACCTGAGCATCCAAGCAGTGTTCCATGTCACATTACTGATGTATCACAGCACTCGATAATCAGAAGCAGGTTTCACCCCTGATGCTGCAGAAAATCCCCAGCAAGAGCCGTGTGTCCTGGCGAACTTCCCTCTTGTCTCTGCTCAAGAACCACCACCTCATTCGGGAAGAAGATGGCATGAGGGAGACAGTGAAAGTGACAGCAGTTGATGTGACAAAGTGGCAGACACATAGTCAGTGTTTCAAGCTCCATTTATTGTAGCTGTATGCACCATCATGGCCAAGACCTGCCAGGCTTCTGGAACATTCGCCTGCCTGCACCAAGATGCCCCAACCTGGAGTCATGCTCTTCACCTTGTCCACAGGCCAGCAACTGCCAGTACCCCCAACATCAGAATAGCCAAGGTCCTGGTAACTGTCTTCGGGGATCTACAGGATCTACACATTTTGTTTGGCTTGTGGTTCATTTTAATTAGTTGCTGATTCTTTAAAACAAGGCTATTTCACATGAACAGGTAGGTTTCTGACTTCTCCAGCCTTCTGACATGTGGTCTGCAGTCCTACATCACAGTAATTAGCTACAAGTCAACAGCACCATCGCTTCCTCTAGATAGGGAGGTGCTGACTTAGTCCCCACCTCACTCTATTGCCCCTAGATGCCATTGATTCAATCGTGCAAATGTTTGTCTAACTACAGAGCAATGTCTTTCTGTGCTTCTTTATTAATAGTGAGAGTCAAAGTCCACCCACACAAAGGCCCACTCCATCCATCTGCACAGCCCACCTTGGTCTACCAGCATCTGAGCTGGGGATTGCTCAACCCAACAAACGTCCCCTTTTCCCCATAGCCCAGGGTACAGCCGTGCAAGGACACTCCACACACACTTCCCTTCAGGCAGCTGACTTTCCAAATTCGAGCCAGTTTGTTCATTGAGACGTCTTCACATGGCCTGAACCAGAAGTGCTTTTAGCAAAGCTAGGTAGCAATGTGAGGCGAGAGGCTGTGGCATGAGGCTGCAAAGCAGCTGCAGGAGCAAAGCAGTCAGACCCAAGGAACGTTGTGGTGAGGCGCCCTCTGGTGAGCACGAGGAAGCTCTGCAGGCTAATGCTCCCCAAATCCCATAAGCCTGTTAGTAGGTGCGACAAAGTTGACTCACTGCGGCCCTCTAAACAACTGATCAGGCTCCCTCTAACTCATGTGTTTCCACTTACTTTGAAAAGTCCTGACCTCTCTCTCCCCCTAGGTGCTCTTTTAGGCACTGAGGCACCCATATCAGCACCCAGCATGGCCCAATCCCTTCCAGGCTTCTCAAGCCAGCCTCCCCCTTTTCTGTATCACGCTTTGCTTCAGGCCTGGCCATGGCAGCCTCAGTGTCCAACTCTGAAATACCCTGCAGAGGTGGAAGGGTGGGGTTACCCAATCAAAGCCTGTAAGGGGAGGCCGGGCCCCCCACGGACAGGGATCTACATGACCCGGGGACCCTGCCCCAGAAGAACCCATGCAGCCAGATAGTCATTCTCCTCGAGAAGCCAGGAGTCTGGACTTCATGTAAAATACACCAATTTCCACAGGTCGGCTCAAACGTGAGTTACCCAGGCCAAAGAAAACATGTCGGCAGAGCGGGTCAGGTCAGGGGCCCCAGCCGGAGCTCTCCGCAGAGGCCACACCGCCGATGGAACCTCTGAGATGGTGGGCGCACGCCAGTGGTTTTCAAAGTTTTTGTTTATTTGAGCAGTTTGTAGCCATCATCACGTTTGATCCTGAGAGGCAAGCAAGGGAGAGAGATTTCTTGGACCCATTTTAGAGTCTGGGTCACTGAGGCTGCAATGGGTGACTGGCCAACTCCAGGTCACAGCCAGTGGAGAAAAGAGCTCTGAGGTTGCATGAAGCAAGGTCCTAGGCAAGAGGGGGCCCCTCGGCCTGCACCACACAGCAGCACCCAGAGAAGTATCCCCACCAGAGTGGGGAGACACGTGCAGACCCCGCCCCCCAAGAAGCACCTTCCGACCCCACCTGACCTGGACCCTCATAAACATGCCCTAGAGAACCCAACAGCCCAAGTGGTGACTACCCCATACACACCCGCCCACCCCCATCTCTCATGCACGCCAGCCCAGGGCCCAGCCCTGGAGGCAGCTTTCTCTTGGGCAGACAGTGCCCTACACCCATAGGCCCCATGGGGAGTTCAGGTCCCAGTAGAAATAGCTCCTACACGCCTGCCCATCACGGGCATGGTAGAGGGGGCCTTGAGAGCCCCTAACAGAGGCCTGGGTCAAGTGGTTAGCTGTGGCCAGTGTGGTGGCCTCACCAGTTGGCCTTCACTGCCTTGATGTCACTCACAAGGTTCTGGGCCAAGCAGATGCCAAAGATCTGTAAGACAGAGGGCAGGGAGGGAGAGATTGCAGGGTGCGGCCCAGGGTAAGGAGTGGGGAGGGGGGTACACGAGTCCACAGCAGTACCTGGAGAAGGGCGATTCCCACAAAGACCCCGGCCACCACAATCAGGTTGTCCTGCAGCCACTTCTCAAACTGGCCCACGCAGCCTTTGGTGTAGATAGAGCCCTGCTGCTCCAGTTCCTGGGGGTACACAGACATCTTCTCAGACCTGAGCCCCTACCCTCCTCCCACTCACCCTAGGACCTGTCCCCTTTTCATCCAAAATGTCGCCACCACACAGGCCCACTCCTCCAAGGTACCTTCTCTACATCCCATATCCCTTCGTGCTATTTTTCCTAAGCACTTAGCTGAAACCCTCACATGAATGTTGCCACTTGTATCTGTCTCTCCCTCCACTGGAATGTAACTCTGGATCAGCACCAAAGGGGATGCCAGGCATACCTCAGAGCTCAACAAAGGGTTCAGACCAGAAAACCTCCTTATGTCCCTATCCCTGAGCTCCTTCTCCCACATCTGGTGGCGCCAAGCTCTAGGGGCCTCAGGACCGCCTTCCTCACGGACATGAGCCCCTGTCCCCAACCCAGGGCCACAGGGCCCTATCCTGCCGGCCCCTCACCAGTTTGAGTCGGACGTCATAGCCACACTGGGTGTTGAGAACATCCTCCTGAGGAGAAACAGGCCAATGAGCAGCTTGTAAGCAGGAATTCCACAAAGGCTTTCTATAATGGACACCCCAAGTTCTTCCTTCTTAAGAGAGCAGTTGGAGCCCCAGATTCTGACCACCCACTGCTTGTAATGCAGCTTGAGGCCCAGGCATCCTTCTTCCAGATGACAGCTCACACTCCTATAGAATCCCTGCCCACAGAAGGGGTCCAGACAGATGGTGACTGGAAGGATATCCCTGAAAAAGCCTTGCCCTGCAGAAAACCATTCCCACCCTAGCGTGGCAGCCCAGTAGGGCCGACATACCCCTGCCATGCATCCCTACAGAAGGGAGCAAGGCCAGATCCCAGCCCCAACAGAGCCTCCAGTGTGGCCAGACACCAGGACAGGGGACACAGGAGGTGGGAAGCCTCTGGGTCAGTGTCTGTTCCTTGAGGTTCTATAAATTCAAACTCATCCCACCAAAGAGAGGACTTCTGGGGAAGAGTAAAAGGAGCCCTCATGCCAGTAGGCCTGGGCCACCACTCACAGACACGGACTAGCTTGGCAGGAGCACCCCGGTAAAATCACTGCCTCTCCCCAAACAAGGGGAGCTGAACAGAGCCCTAAGGAGGTTTTCTCCATGGGAACAGTGTACCAAGTTGCCCCCCACCCGCGCACTCACTGCAGGGTCTCTCACGCAGCAGGAGAAGGGCACCCCGCAGCGCTCCCGGCTGGGGTTCAAGTCAGTGCAGTTGTAATAGATATTGAGGTTCCAGTCGTTGGGCCCTCGGGCTCCACAGCAAGACCACTAGGGAGGTTTGAGGGAAGAGTTCCAGGTGAGCCAGGCCTGTGGTCAGTAGCCGTCTGCCTCTTTGCCCCTAGAAGCTTTTCCTGCCTGAGGAGAAGCGCAGACTGCAGGAGACAGGGCGGGGCTGGGTGTGGCGCTTGAGGCAGCCTGCAGGTGGGTACCTCCTACCCGCCCACAGACAGCCCAGACCTGTGTCCAGAAGGTCAGAGGGAAAGGGGAGGAGCTCCAGGAGCCTGGGAACCAAGTTCTGTAAAGGGGTCCTGAGCTGGCCTACTTAGGAGGAGGAAAGGCAAGGATATGATCATGGATTAGAGAAAGAATGAAGGATGACAGCAGAGTTCTGGGCTACATGTGTAGGAACATCAAAAAGGGGAGGTCTTCCTAGAACTTAATTAAAATGCATAAGAAATCAGCACAGGCTGTCTTCACAGAGCTTGGCCAAAGCTCACTCCTAAGAAAGTCAGTGGATGGTGGCTCAGCTGTAAGGCTAAGTAGGTGAGGCCACGGTGGGTACAGCCGTTCTGAGGAGTATGAATATGCATTTAGGAAGTGCTTGTGATCCAGTAAACTGTTCACTGACTGCTGCACAGGGGTCTCATAAATTTGAGGGTGTGCATCTGTGAAGAGTCTCAAATTAACCTGTTCGGAGGCCAAGCAAATAATGTATATGAGATGGTGCAGCTATACAGAGTGGAGAGGGCAGTGGCAAAGGGTCAGCGGCAACATATTCCCAACCAGTACTGTTCCCCAAGGGTTTAAGAAAGGAAGAAAATTCCTCTCTTTTAGGTGCCATAAACCCAGGCCTGGGGCTTCTGTATTCCAACTGCAACCCTGCAGGTTGGTGCACCCAAGGATCACTAGGGGCTATGCAAAGGACCTGCAGGCCCAGTGTGTAAGAGTTGTTGCAGGTCATAAGGCACTGGCTCCCTCACTCATTAACCATTCGGCACTGCCTGTGTCTAGCCCTGGATTGTCTCCCAACTCACGTATTCCTGAGCAAAGTCAATGAGGTTCTGGAGGTCGATGTCGTCCCGGTAGGCCTTGACGTTGTTGTTGATGAAGAGGTTGAGCTGGTCGCGAATCCAGTCTTTGAAAACGAAGGCCAGGATTCCCGTCGCCAGCTCCAGAAAAAAGATGAGGCCGAGGAACACAGAAAACTGGGGCAGGGTATACAGATGGGTGGAGGCTGGGGGTCAGACAATTCCTGGGGCGTCCAAGAAAAACCCAGTATCCCCAGCCAATCTTAGTACTGCTTTATGATGGTATAAAGGTAGTGTTGTCCTTACCTAGCCATCCATTCCCCTTCCTCTGATCAACATGCCTGTTTTCTTAAATCAACACGTTCCACCTGAATGATTTCACAGGAGTCAACACCCCTTCCACAACCCCAGATGTTGGACTAAGCATGTCACTGGCTGTCAATCAGAACACAGCCTTCCCCGCCCCGGCTACTGGATTGGTCCAGAGACAGCCAATCGGAGCCAAGGAAACGCAATTGAAGGCCATCAGCAGAGCGTTTGGGAGAGAGTCCTGTCTTCCCGGATGGAAGAAACCAGCATATGTGGGAGAGCATCTTACTGGGACAGAAGGGATGGGGAATGAGGGTCCCAGAGCTGAGAAATGGAGAGACCAGCTGTGGCCTGATGCGTGGTTTCAAATATGCCTGCAGCCAGAACCAACTGGTTGCCATCCATCAACTCCAACTCTGCGTCAGAGTAGAACTGTCCTCCATGGCTGGTTTTAGGAATTAGAATACCAGGCTTTTCTTTTAAAGCACCCATGGGTGGACTCAAAACTCCAGCCTTTTGATTGTCAGCCAAGCACTTTTGCTATTTACACTACCCAAGGGTCTCCACAGTCAGAAAGCCCTGTGCTTTTCTTTACAGACGTCAATGAACACTCTTTTTGCTTGGGCCAATGGGTTCTAGTCATTTACAACAGAAAGAATCCTAATAAAGAACAATTAAGTCTGTTTAAAGACTAAGGTGTGCCAAATCCAAGCCATGATATTTTCAGTTGCTTCCAGTGCATCTGAAAATTGGACAGTTAATAAGGATAGCAAAAAATGAATCCATGAATTTGAACTGTGGTGTTGGAGCAGAGCACTGAATATCCGTGGAGTGCCAAAAGAACAAACAAGTCCCTAGAGGCAAAAGCCAGGCAATTTCATCTCACAGACTCTGGGCGCAGTCAGGAGGGGCCAATCCTTGGAAAAAGACCTCATGCTGGGGAAGGTGGAGGATGAGAGAGAGAATCTCTGCAAGAGAGATTGACCCAGTGACTGTAACAGCAGCCTCAAGCATGGAGAGATCTCGAGGATGGTGCAAAACAGGGTAAGATTCAGATCTCTTTAAAATTATCTTTTTAATTTTTTATTATTATTAATGTTAATGAAAGTTTACAGAGACTTTGGATTTCCATTCATTCATTGTTGCACTTTTCTTCCCGCCCAGCCCTCGCAATTCAGATCTCTTGTTCATAGGGTCTCTATGAATTGAAGTTGACAGGATGGCACCTAACAATAACAACATACTAATAAAGCTACTCAATCCTAGGCAAGAACTGGTGGGATAAATGTGCATGCCCTCATCAGGCATACTCACAAACTTGAGCAGGAAGGTGTTCTCTCGAAGGGCTCCAATGCAGCCAGCAAAGCCCAGCACCGACATGACGCCTCCAACCACCACAAACAGCCACACGGGGTCCAAGCCCCCAAGATCTGTCAGCGCTGAGATGTTGGAGAGCACACCCTGGGCCAGGAGAGCAGGGAAGATGTAGAGAACTGGCTCTCCCACCACCTCACCCCATGGCCAAATCCCTATTCCCTCCGGCTGTACCCCATCAGCTTACCTTCTCCCCCCAGGCCCAGAAGCCGATGGCCAGCAACAGGGCTCCCAGCACCTACAAGAGTAGCAGGGAGCTTAGGTTTGAAGCAGAAAACCAGGACCCTCATTCCTTCTCTCCCTATGCATGAAGTGCCCTCTCAGTTACTTGGTTTCTAAAGGGAGAGGGGAGGAGAGAGGTGGTATATAAGTGATCTACCACCTAACCTACCTTCCCAAGAGTACATCCCATTCTTTCTCCCCAACAGGACACAGTCTGGGGCGACTAGAACCAAGAGTGCCGCCTCTCCTTAGTCTCAGGATTGGCATGTGACCCCAGGCCTTACTTGGAACGCCTTACCAGAGCAGTGGGCCCCTAGGACATTCCAACCTAGCAATAATGTCCCTCGCCTCTGCTCCTAGCACACTCCTATGCGAGAGCTCCCACTCTCCCTTTACAAACCCAGTCCTGCAGGTGCCCAGTAGTCCCGTCGTCTGTATCTCCCCATCCACTGGTCAATACATCTGTTTTGAAGCAGCCACTCTGTCCCACCACCTTTCTAATCACTTCTTTTCACCTCCACTTGCCCCAGTGGGTTTGTAGCACACAAGAAAAGACTCTGAGTGAAAAGTCATCCTGATACAGGACAGGATTGGGCTAAGGGCCTCAGTCCGGACCAGAGGCTTTGTTCTCAAAGGCAGCAAGCCATGATCTGCCTGGGCCTCCTGAACCCTGGCCTCACACGTCCTACTTGGGCAAACCCTGAATGACCTCTCCCCACCCTCTTAATCCTTCCAATCATACTGCCTTCATTCCTTCCTGAAGGACTCTGGACATCAAAGCCCACTCCTCTCTTTATGCATGATGCTTGCCAGGGTTCTGGAGTCAACCCAGAGGGAGAAGCCCCCTCCTGCCCTAGGCAGCTGTCCAAGCTCCCACCTCCTCAGGCCTCCCCACCCACCTGTTTCCTCTCCTGGTTCCTTCCTCTCATTCATCAACTTCCCTTTCCAGACCCAAGCACTTTTTCTCTGGAAAACAGCTTCCCTCCTTTTCAATCCCCTTGCATACCCTGGGTCTGGTACTGTGAAATTCAAACATCACCTCTTTGCCACACCCTATGTGGCCTGCCCAGAAGGGACCATTGTCTCCTTCCTTCATCCCTCATTGGTTAATTCAGCACCTTTCCTTCTACTATTCACTCTCAACTTTCTGCCCAACCTCCACCCTCTTCCCTTTGACTTCATTTCCCCTCTCACTGTGACACTAGGAGATTTTGTGGCATTGTGCATTATATCAGGTTGTTGACTAGTGGATGAGCAGCTGAAACCTACCAGCAGCTCCTTGGGACAAAGATGGGCAGTCTGCCTACATTAAGATACAGGCTCAGAAACCCTATGGGGTAGTTCTTCTCTGTTCTATAAGTTTGCTATTTTTTTGAATCAACTCGATGGCAGGGAGTTTGGCTTTAGGACGAGTGACACTAGCCTCCCCCAGGATCTCTACCCAAACCTCTGTCTGCCCCCACCTGTTGGAGATATGTCTCCCCCATCCTCAGAACACAGTAGCCAAGAGAGAAGCTTTCACTTCAGCCCTCCAAGTGCTTACACTCTTGTGAGAAAGACTGATGTTACAGCAAACAATTCCAGATGTTGACTAAGCTCCTAAAGAAAATTAAAACAAGGTGGCATATGGACAATGACTGAGGCAATGGGGGTGCTCTGGAGGGTGCAGTTGGGAATGGTGTTGCTGTTTAGTTGAGGTTGGGATGGTCTGAAGGAGCAGCTGGGAGAAGAGTGCTCCAAAGGAGAGACTGGCAAATGCCCCACTGTGAGACCAGGTATGTGAGGGACAAAGGAAAGGGGAAACCCAGAACAGCTTTCCACAGGGCCATGGAGTCCATTCAAAGAGTCAGGGCTGTACCCTGTATTCTATGAACACTGACAAGCTCCTAGAAGGTTCTGAGAAAGGGTCCACCTATGACAGAAACAAACAAACAAACAAACAAAAAAGTCTCTTTGGGCCTGTTACCCTGTGTCATAGAGACCTCCTTTGTCACTTTGACCCAAGTCTAACCACCCGCTTGCCAGTCCTGTCAATTCAGCCTCATGACTTCCTTTAGAGCCTTTTTCATCTGTCTCCTCCTACCACCTTAGCTTTGCTCCAGGGTTCCCACATCCTGCCTCTGCTCTGCACCTCCCTTTCCCCATGGCAACTGCATAACCCCAATACAAAAGTCCTGCCCTCTCCACAAGACCCTCATCATAAAACCTCCCTAGGCCCCAGCACCCAGCTTTTTGTGCTCTGCTCCCCACTCTCAAAGTCCCAGGAACAAAACTGGGGCTCTCCCCTTGGTACTCCAGGCTTCTTCCTCTGCTCACCATTCTGCTTCTCCCCCCACGCACAACCCACTCAGTTGTCACCAGGGCTCTGCTCTTACTGGCCATGTGCCTCTAAGTAAGTTACTTACTCTCTCTGTGACTGTTTCCCCATTTGTATAACGGAGACATTAAAAGGTAGTTATAAGCATAAGCCCGCAATGTATTGTTGTGTACCACTGAGTCAGATCGACACATAACTGACCCTTGAGCTTATTTTCAGAGGCAGTAAATCGCCCGGGAGGAGTCTGCCCATATTTCTCCCATAGTGCGGCTGGTGGATACAAACTCCTTGACTTTGGGATGGCATCTCTAGATACTAGGGCAACAGAACTCCCTACACTGAATTAGACAATAGATTAGAATTCCTTATTTTCATTATTTAACCTAACAACCCAGAGGACAAGCTCTCTCTAACTGGCTCTGCTCAGGAAGAGAAGTTGCTGTGCAGAGAGACAGCTCTCAAAGCTGCACTGGGTCGGCCCAGAGCCCCAGGCTTTCTTCTAGTTCTCTGAACACTGCCCACGCCCTGGTGAGCTGAGCAGGAGTGGGGCCCAAGGACATACCATCAGGGTAACAGCTCGGGCAGCATGTGGGTGGAGGGCAGTGCCACCGCGTTAGCCCAAGAGAACTAAAAGGTCCAGGCATCCTAAGCGATGGCTTGGGGAACAGGGACTGCAGAGGCGGCAGCCTCGCTGGCCAGAGGAGGGAGGGGGAGGGAAGATGACTTGGCAGGGCCCTGGGACATAGATGCTATCCCGGGAGGGACAGCTACGTCTTCTTTCTCCAGGCAAGAGCACACCCACCCCGGGGTCTCGGTTTTGGTCAGCTAGGGAGTACTGAACTTGGTTCCGCAGGGCCAACTCCAGGACTCCCAATAAGGGGGATTCCCCTCTCCCAGATAGAGGTCTTAGGCCCTGGTCCCTCCCAGCAGGCACCCAGGAGAGTAAAGAGGAGAGGATTTTGACCCACTCCCTTCGCAGGAGGTAAAGGCGGGGCACCAGGCCCAGGTGCTAGAGAAGCAAGGGGTTGGGGCAGGGGACGGGGGCCCGCCCCTTCCTTTCACTGCACACTCAACCCAACCGGCGGAGGAGCCAGGGCTGGGGCTCGACGCGCACCCCACACACCAGAAAGCAAAGAGGTGGGTGATCCGCACCAATTGTACCCCAAGGGCCTTCAAAGAAGCCTTACCCCTTTCTCTACTTTGTCTGGGAAAGACATCCCTAGGTGGCTGGGACCAGACCTCCCACAATCCAGGCCTCTCCACGCTCCCTCGGTCTGTCCCTTGGGAGGGGGGAGACAGTGTGCAAGGACAGTGCCAAACCCTAGGCTTTTGTGGCAGGAAGTGGACTCCTCCTAGAGAGAGTCTGCATCCCCTCCTCCCATCACCCCAGTGCAAGGCCCGGCGCCAAACCAGCGCTCACCCAGAAGACAATGTTGAAGCCAAACAGGAAGTATTTCCCACA